AGGAAGGAAGGAAGGAAGGAAGGAAGGAAGGAAGGAAGGAAACATTCTTGCCCTGGGTAAACAGAAGACCCCAATGCCTCCAAGCCTCCAGGTCTGTTTGTTCCAGTGATGTTGGCCCTTGGGATCTGCTGAGAAGTAGAGTGGTGTAAAACAGTGTTTTCTTGAATATGGAACACATAGCACCAGTTGTGCATGAAATGACTGAGGAAGTTTATGTTCATAGCATTAATATTTAATCACCATATGAGAAAGTCAGTCTTTCTGATTTTATGTGCAGGAACGCAACAAAAGCTACCCAGAATTGAATCACAGTCTTCTAATTGTATACGTGTTTAAAGCTACCTTTTTTTTAATGATAGGCGATCTTTCTGTTTTCATTTACAGTAAGGATAAAAACTTTCTATTATGAAGTATAAATTTTAAAAATTAGTCAAAGAAAAAAAAATTTTTTTGAGATAAGAGTTTTGCTCTTGTTGCCCAGGCTGGAGTGCAATGGCACAGTCTTGGCTCACTGCAACCTCCGCTTCCTGGGTTCAAGTGAATCCCCTGCCTCAGCCTCCCAAGTAGCTGGGAGGCCTCCACCACCATGCCTGGCTAATTTTTGTATTTTTAGTAGAGACAAGGTTTCACCACGTTGGCCAGGCTGATCTTGAACTTCTGACCGCAGGTGACCCGCCCACCTCGGCCTCCCGAAGTGCTGAAATTACAGGCATGAGCCACTGTGCCTGGCCTAAAGAAAATATTAAGTAACGTTTAGGACAGAAGGAACACAACTGATGAAAAATTGAGAAGATGCATGGTGGCATGTGTAGTGCCACCTACCTAAAGTTTGGGGAAAGTTGGTAGAAGGGAAGAAGGTGTGAATTTGAAGTCAGATTTAAATCTCCTTTCTACCACCTCCTAGCTATATGGCCAAGGGGTATCTTGACCTCTCTGAGCTTGGTGTGCTTATCTGCTGAATGGAGATTGTAATAATAAGCATTACCTTGTACTACTGTTTTGAGAGTTAACCAAGGCAATGCAGGCCCGATAAAGACTTTACAAATGGTTATGTATCACTGTTGTTATTATTTTATTTTATCTTTTTTTTTTTTTTTGAGATGGGGTCTCACCTCAATTGCCTTGGCTGGAGTGCAGCAGTGTGATCTCGGTTCACTGTAACCTCAACCTTCCAAACTCAAGTGATTCTCTACCTCAGCCTCCCAAGTAGCTGGGAGTATAGACACATCACCACATCTGGCTATTTTTTTGTATTTTTTTTAGTAGAGATGGGGTCTCACCATGTTGCTAAGGCTGGTCTTGAACTCCTGGACTCAGGCAATCCACTTGCCTCAGCCTCCCAAAGTGCTGGGAATACAGGCATGAGCCACCGCACCCAGCCTGTATTTCTTTTTTATTATTTTTATGCATCAAGAGACTTAATCTATTGACTTCATATGCATCTATTTTTTGGCCTCTATGCCTTTGTCTTCCCATTTGTAAAAGAGTCTCCATGGATGCCTTCCAAAGCTACATCCTGAGGCTGTGATTCTATTTTGCTGACACCCAGTTCCTCCCTGCCTTAATGGATTATCAGATTCAGCCAGGGACAATCAGATACTAGACTCAGTTTAAAACAAAATTATAGAGAAGTAGAAAATGGACAGAAAATGGACAAAATTCTACAGTTTATCAACAGGTTCGATTAATATTCACCTGCCACAGCCGGGCACAGTGGCTCACGCCTGTAATCCCAGCACTTTGGGAGGCTGAGGCGGGTGGATCACTTGAGGTCAGGAGTTCAAGACCAGCCTGGCCAACATGGTGAAAACCCATCTCTACTAAAAATACAAAAATTACCCAGGCAAGTGTGTCTCATGCAATATTTGGGACATACTTATACTAAAAAATTATTTGTTGTTTATCTGAAGTTCAAATTTAACTGGTTGTCCTGTCCTGTGTCTATGTTTGCTGAATCTGGCAACTCTACCCTGACAGTCACAGAATTAGGTTACTATGTTTCTCCTCAAATTCACAAACTACTGGATCTAAAATCAGAGGCAAATCCAGGTTCTGATGGGTCTGAAGATTTGAGGTGACTCTTTAAGACTAAGAATACAAAATCACAAATTACAAATGCTAAATTAGCTACAAACATGAATATTTATTCCGAATGAGAAAATGCGTTATTTTTGCAAGTTTTATAGAACCATATGATCCCTGTTGTAAGTTCACTTCCACTTCTTCTTCTTTTTTTTTTTTTTGAGACGGGGTCTCACTCTGTCTCCCAGGCTGGCATGCAGTGGTGAGATCTCAGCTCACTGCAGCCTCTGCCTCCCAGGCTCAAGTGATCTTCCTGCCTCAGCCTCCTGAGTAGCTGAGACTACAGGTGCCCACCACCACGCCTGGCTAATTTTTGTATTTTTTGTAGAGATGGGGTCTCGCCATGTTACTCAGGCTGGTCTCAAACTCCTGAGCTCAACTGATCCGCCCACCTCGGCCTCCCAAGGTGCTAGGATTATAGGCGTGAGCCAGTGCGCCCAGCCGATAAGTTCACTTCTGACTAAAATACTGAACAACTCTCCATGGGAATCATCCAGAAATGATGATGCCAAAGAGTGCCTGTGGGAAAACTATCCATGAAAATCAAAGATAATCCAAGAAAGAAGAAAAGAGCCAAGCCCGAGCCTCAAAACCATCCTCCCCAAATACCTGTTTTTAAATCATTATTTTCAAAAGTTGTAATCTTACTTTTTCGTAACAGAGCCATGTGTATTCACGCGGATAAGAACTGTAACCTGTGGATTAAAGAAAAAAATCTGTTTGAAAGAGAATCAACTTAAAAGTCATCAACAAGTGTTAAGGACTATGCCTTCTCTGAAAGGCTGATATATCGTGAAGTGTGTGATCATTTTCTACTGCTCCGAATCTAAAATTTTGGAAACAAAATAAATACAGGCCCATGTCTTCAAAAGTGATGCCTGCGGTTGAACAAACCTTACTAAGGGTCCTCAAAAGCTAATCTTTAGTCGTCAGAATTTTTTTTTTTTTTTTTTTTTTTTTTTTTTTTTTTTTGGTGACAGAGTCTCGCTCCATCACCCAGGTTGGAATGCAGTTGCGATCTTGGCTCACTGCAACCTCCACCTCCCAGGTTCAAGTGATCCTCCTTCCTCAGCCTCCCAAGTAGCTGGAACTACAGGCGTGTGCCACCACTCCCAGCTAATTTTTTTTATTTTTAGTAGAGATGGGGTTTTGCCATGTTGCCCAGGCTGGTCTCGAACTCCTAGCCTCAAGCAAGCCATCCACCTTGGCTTCTCAAAGTGCTGGGATTACAGGTGTGAGCCACAGTGCCTGGCCCAGAATTTTTTTTAACCTCCTGCAAAAAGAGCTCTGTCAGCCTTCTGGGTCAGCATAGCAGATGGCCGTAACTGGAAGTATCACACTAGAAGACTTCCTTGATCTAAAATATCAACCCTATGCTATCTTTCTACTATCAGAACTTCATTCCTTGATAAGGAAGCTTTTGCATCTTCAGGAATCCCTTGGCGGGCCATGCATTATACTCAATTCAATCATTCATTCAATATTTACATATTGAGATCCTACTAAAAGCCCAGCACTGTGCCACTTCCCAGTGATGTGCCAACAAATGAAACAGTCCTGGTCCCTATCCTCCTGGAGCTTTTGGTCCAGTGGGGGAAACAGATATTAAAATGTGACACATAAAAGTATTAGATTACCGTAAGTGCTATGAAGGAAGCAAAGGAGATATTGGGATAAAGATGAACAGGGGTAGGGAGTGCATCAGGAAGAGAAATCAGCAAAAACTTCATTGAGGATATGGCATTGGAGGGAAGGAAGAGCAAGAGCCAGACAAGGGCAGAACATGCAGAGGAGCATCCCAGGCAAAGGGAACAGCAAGTACAAAGTCCCTGGGGCTGGAAGGAGCTCTAAATATTCTAGGAACTGCAAGAAGCTCAAAGTCTCTGGATCACAGTCAATCAAAGGAGAGACTGGATGGAAGAGGCCAGAGAGGTACCAAGGGACCGGATACTACTGTGCCTAAAGAGGAGTTTGGATTTTATTTTAAGTGCACAAAACCCCCTCCATCAGTGTTTAACTTTGTTAAAACCCTAAAGCACTGTTTTCCAAACATTCCCAAGGGAAGTCTGAAGGTAAAGGAGAGTGAACACTTAACATTGCTCACAATGAACTCAAAGTATCTTTCACGTTTTTTGTTTTACGTTCAAATTCATGGGAACTGTGCAAGAATTAGTGGAAAGGAATCACTCCTTCAACTGCTGGCAGTTCACCCCTCAGGGAGAAAGCTATCTGTTATGAAAGCCAGGTCTTCTGTGCCTAGGTGAGATGGCCAGGTGAGAGCAGGGAAAAGCTAACCTGGTCTGAATAAGGGATGAACCAGAATCCTAAGGTTTGGCCACAGCCCAAGAAAAAATGTTATTAGAGGAGAAGGAAAAGTCCAATCACTTACCCAGGAGAACTTCCTTTCCTATGGCAGGCCCAGGGACTATTCAAGAACAGATGTCCAATACTCAGCCCACAATCTTCTTTCACGCTCTGCACCTTCTAACCTCAGCCCACCTCCACGCTGCTCTTCCCACAGGACCTAAAGTGACATTTTAAGTGTTTTACCGGGTGTGGTGGCTCACTTTTGGAGCCCAGGGTGGGCAGATGCTTGAGCCCAGGGGTTGGAGATAAGCCTGGGAAACATAATAAGACCCCCCTGCAACAATCTCTACAAAAAAATACAAAAATTAGCAGGCATCGTGGTGCATGCCTGTAGTCCTAGCTACTCGGGAAGTTGAGGCAGGAGGATCGCATGAGCCCCGGAGGTTGAGGCTGCAGTGAGCCATGGCTGCTGCACTCCAGCTGGGAGACAGAGCAAAACCTTGTTTTAAAAAAGAAAAAGAAAGAAGAGAGAGGAGAGAAGGAAGGAAGGAAGGAAGGAAGGAAGGAAGGAAGGAAGGAAGGAAGGAAGGAAGGAAGGA